AAAATGAAAAGAACATTTCATTGCATGTAGAACAAAAGAAAATGAAAAGAACATTTCATTGCATGTAGAACAAAAAAAAAAATGGAAAGAACATTACCCTTGCATGTTAGAAAGTAGAATAGAATTGCATGAGACGAATGCATGGTGCATGTTAAATGATGTAATTGTTTTTAGATTGTCATTTACGGGTAAATGACAAATCGGTTAGGGAGGATTATGGCACCTTGCATTTATTGGAAATATTCATAGAAATATGAGTTAATTTTTCCTTATTCAGTTTATTAAACAGGTTGTTAATTTTTTTTTTTAAAACGGAAAATAACTGGGTTGAAAATAATTCACTAAGAATGTACTAAACGATCCTAAAGCAAGGAAAAAGAAAGAAAGGAAAAGGAAGAAAGGAAAGATAATAACAAAAAGGGGGAGAAAGGAAAAGACATGATATCAAAACAGGCCGCTGGGTGGGACCAGATGTCGGTCAGAGCCTCTGACTGACCTTAATTTTTGTTGAAAGAATAGAATTGAGATATCGGTCGCGAGCGCTGACCGACATTTTCGTAGAAGAATTCTTATCAAAATAACGAAAGGTAACTTTTAAATTAGAATAATAGAAATGAATTTTACTTTAGTCAGAGAGAAAGTGTCTTTGGGTTGGGGAAGTGACTGGTGAAAACGATATACGGAATTGACCTGTTAAGAATTGGACACCCACGTTAAGAAAGTAGAGATATTTCGACCTAGATAATTAAGATTCTCGGCTATCAGGAAAAACAAAGAGGTAAAAAGAAGAGCAATTGTTTTTGGACCACGGAGGGCGCCAGGAAGGCGGAAAAGATCCTTTCTAAAAGTCAAGACTAATTAGCAGCGGGCTGTTTGACAAAAGTCCAGGTGAGAGAGGGCAAGGATTGTCATTTTGCGTACGTGCAAAAAGGTGCGAAATCGGATTTTGTTTTTTTTTAAAACCAGCACGATGTAACCACACCCGCCAACAAAAGGGAGAGGGTGTTCGGTCAATAACAATTGGTCGAATACAATCACGTGACCGCGGAAGAAGAAGGAAAGAAAACCTCGATCAATAACTGTTGGACGAGGCGGTCACGTGGGCTGCGGAAAAGAAGAGAAAGAAAGGTTCGATCGGGAACGATTGGTTGAGAGCGATCACCTGACATGAGAGAGACTAAGAGAAATAGATATGCGCCGCTCCCCCAAGAGCACTGTGAGAAAGTAGGGGTGAAAACAATAACGATAATGGAAAGTCAAAATTAATACGGCTTTTGAAATTATCGAGAAACCCCTGACGCCGACCGACCCACCCCGGCTTGTTGCGGCGTCAATATAAGCAGGACCCCAGTCGGCAGAAATCAGTTGGAGCTGAAGTTGGAGCTGAAGTTGGAGCTGAAGTTGGAGCTGAAGTTGAGTTGAAGTTGGAGCTGAAGTTGAGTTGAAGTTGGAGTTAGGTTGGGCGTGAGTTGCAGTTCACCCTCGGACGACAGAAGAATCCTCGAAACAAGAAATCCTTCCAGCCCAAGTTGAAGACAAGAAATCTTCCACCGAATTGAAACAAGAAATCCTTCCAGCCCAAGTTGAAGACAAGAAATCTTCCACCGAATTGAAACAAGAAATCCTTCCAGCCCAAGTTGAAGACAAGAAATCTTCCACCGAATTGAAACAAGAAATCCTTCCAGCCCAAGTTGAAGACAAGAAATCTTCCACCGAATTGAAGCAAGAAATCTTCCACTGAATCGAAGCAAGAAATCTTCCACTGAATCGAAGCAAGAAATCTTCCACTGGGTTGAAACAAGAAATCTACCAGTCTAAACAGAAGAAGAAGAAGAAATACAACTCAAGTCGGAGAGAAGAATCAACTGCGAATGATCGATAGAAATTAGCCCCAGTGTCGAACTGAACCACACTCCGACATACATACATGATTCTAGAAAGTAGGTAATTCGACATTTTCCTATTGTGTGATAGAAGCTTGGTGCCATAGTCCACAGAGCGGGTCGGGAATTGAGAACAATTTTGTTTTTATGTAACGGACTTTAAGATATAAAAGGTTGTTACCCTTTTTATCGGCAATTTTGTTTGGTGTCGTGAGTTTTTATTTTATTTGTGTTTTGCCACCCCGTCGGACTCAACTTGTATCGGCCCCGATCCCTGTTGGTCCCGTCTGTCTAAGATCTAAACACAGCGTGGGTAGACAGACCGGAGATCGGTATAGTTGCTTTAGTGACCAGGTATTGGAAGCGAGTCGGGAAAGGCGAGGCTGGTGATCATCTGACCAAAGGGTTGGAGCGGCACGCTTGGACCCAGGAGGAGCGACCAGGAGGAGCGACGTCACCGTTGGCGCCGTAACCAAAGGATCCGACACTGGGCCAGGTGTGTAACCGTCACAGTGGTGTGGTTTCGCGTTTCCTTTTCCACAGTTTTATTCTCCGAGACTGGCTGCCACCCAAGGATGTTTAATCCATAGATGAAGGGAAGAAGAGAAGAGATGGATTCGTGTCTTTCCCAAGGGCATTAGTGTGAATGTGAATGCAAAAGACGAAGCCCACCGTTTTCCACCCTACAACGTCGACGCCTGCACATTCTACGTGTTCTATTTATTCTAGCCTAGGTTTTCTTTGTCTAACAAATATCTGTGCCTCTTCAAATATAGAAATACCAACTCCACCTCGGTGAATCATCATTTTAGCTAATATCGAGCAAACGTGAATATAATTAAGAACATCCAGCAATATTATTAAGCTTACTGTAATCCAGAACGCAGCAACCATTTTTTTTTCTACATAACGCCCATTCTTCAATATTGGGATTGGTGGGCGTTCCAGTCCACCAATCAATAATTTCAAAATTAACAGATTAAATTTAAATGATATTTATTTAAGTTTTAATGATTCGGACTATGACCGAAGGTAAATGTAAACAGAACTTCGTTTCCATGGATACCCATTAATTTATCGATTATAACATACAGATTACGACACGTTAGAAAAAATAAAAGCAAAAAATTAATGCTATTCAATACTTTCTTTGAATTTGATATTTTTTATCGAGGTCCAAAACATTTGGAGGGGCGTTTTTTAATGACAGACGTGTCCCTTTCCCGTAACATTGAGGCAATTTCGTGGTTTTCGTTAATATGTAATACACCCCAGAGACCACCGTTTTCACAACATATGAGGCAAGAAAAGGGATAAACAGTAATTCGACCTTTGACCTCAAGTTCGGATAACAGGTAGTAATACTCTTGTGATTTCGCGAGACTTGATGATCTCGTCTGTTTGTTATTTAAGCTTCATTACAATGTCACAACATGAGAAATTCTTCAACCCAACATCGATTCATCACCTGATCTACATCAATCATGAAAGACTCAAAGATCTACTTGGGCATACCTTTGTTAATAATGTCCACAAATTGTGATTCCAACTGATCAGAAACAAATTTCAAAAGTATACCAAAACATATATAATCGCTGTTTGGAATTTCCTCGGCAACAACTGCAATTCGTGTGAGAAAATGCAAATCCTTGCGTAGGACATAAAGATTAATTTTCTCAATAAAAATGAAATGATACTTTTAGCGTTGTTGGGTTTCTGTTGTGGTCTTGTTAGGGCCAGAAATAAAGACACAGGAGAGGAACTGAGTTAAACAAATATATTAACAGAAACAGTAATACAAACATATACAAACGAGAATGTTACAGCAAGAATGTTTGGTTCGACTGTCAAAGCTGACTGCTGGAAACTCCACCCTCCAGAAAGGCAGAACCTGCTCCTATTTATAGCTGGGAGAGTCCATGCGTGCGTGGGTAAATTACCATAACAGTTACAAACGGCGATTCTCTCCCTGTCGTTGAGATAGTCACATGGGTCACGTGACGACCGGTAAATGACATCAGCAGATAGATTGACGAAGGGCAGTTGTGATGTAGAACCCAGAGAAGAAAGAGGTCTCTCGCCCACAGCAATATGCCTTACAGGAAGAACCACATGGGTTAACCAGGTACGTAGAGAAACCGCCATAACTCCAGTTTTCCCTTTAGGAAATATTACAAGTAAGGTTACCCTTTCTTACACACTGTTGCATATATGTGATAATTCCTCCGCGTGGGACACGTGTATATATATATATATATATATATATATATAATTTTGTGTACGACCTAGCATTATAAAACTGTCTGAAAACTAAGCATATTAAATATTCGTTTTCCATTCCGTAATTCCGTTACGACTGTGAAATATCGGTGTTATTATATCATGGCTATAATAATGTCCATAACGGCAGGGACGTAAATGGGAGAATAAATCATTTTTACAGACTCTCCCGTTACACTGACAACCATACTTGCTGTCTCTTTTCAATTGATGCTTAATCCTTTCTTCTCGTTTTACATTACTACCTTGTCTTGTAGATTACTTTCAGTGTTGCCCGTGTATCTCATATTATTAAGATTGTACCCCAGATAGTAAGTCCTGATTGAGATATAGAATGAAACTCCAGCTTGCAGTTCTCAATTTGGGAAAACCTAAGACTAGCTTTTTCCGTTCGTGGAATATCTCCTTGCCTGAGACATGGATGAATCCGGCCCGTTTGTATCTAGAGCTCTAGAAATGGCTTCTCCAGGTACAGGAGTATCTCAATATTATATGTAAGATCTTTCGTTTTTCTTTCTCCTTACACCTTGCTTTGCAGTGTAGATATATGTGATATATTATTCTCTGCGTGGGACATGTGGATTAATATCGGAGTTATTATATCATGGCTATAATAATGCCCATAGCTGGAGAAACGTAAATAGGAAAATAAATCATTCTTTACAAGTTCTTCTCTCGTTACGGCATTAATAATGGTTTCTTCGAAGTTGCCAATTCATATCGTTAAAAATCTGAGAAAAATCTGCAATGGAGAAAATGTTAATAGCCTTGTTTCAGATTAGATTCTAGTCAAACACAAGGTTACAATCGTAGCGTACTTCGATTGAACTCACGAGACTAACCCGCTAAACAGCGATACACAGTGAGCGATTCTAGTGCAATAAGCAGAAAGTTTACTGTTATTCCATTTAAAAACGTTGAACGAGCTCCAGTGTAGGAGGCGCCCCAGTGTAGAATGGTCCCCAGCGTAGAACGAGCTCCGGTATAGGAGGCACCCCGGTATAGAACGCGCCCAGGCGTAGAACGAGCTCCGGTGTAGGAAGCGCCCCAGTATAGAACGCGCCCCTGTATTGAAAGAGCTACGGTATAGGAGGCACCCCGGTACAGAACGCGCTCCGGCGTAGAACGATGTCCGGTGTAGGAGGCGCCCCGGTGTTGGAGGCGCCCTGGTGTAGGAAGCGTCCCGGTGTAGGACGCGCTTCGGGTTAGTACACGCATCCTATTTTTAAGCTAAAATTCATGACAAATAAAGCAAGACACTTCAAACATTTTAAAAACAGCCTTTACAAGTGCCAGATCAAGCCTAAAATTGAGTACTGGTGTCATTTTGATAGAAGCTGCCCAGTCCTCACTTTCCAGTCACGATGACAGTCCAAAAGCGTCTCCGACCGTTCTGACCCTCACGGCTAGGACCGGCCATGTCACTCATATTATAACAAACCACGCTGATTCTCTCTGTATTCCTTTGATGAGAATTTCACTTAGGTAGCTTCTTCCCGCGAGCCACTGTTTAAGAGGAAGTTTCCCCCATTACTACAATCTTAACCTGTTCAAGTCTAGGGTTAACTGTTATCTTCCCCACCCCTATCCACATAAAATGTTCTTGTTACTTTGTAACCCTCTACCTCGAGTGATCCCCGGACCTTGAACAGGGTGAACCTCGCTGTAAAAATAAATATATTTAAAATTCAAATAATTTCGATAGAAAAAATGCATTTGTTTATAGAGAAATCATCGACTTTTAAAGATTTGTGATAATTTTCTTCACTCTCGCAAAATTTTCTTGCTATAGTAAAATAATGCATACTTGTTTCGAATAGTGCCAACAATTTAGCATTCATGTACAAAATGCAAGTACTCTTTTAAGTGGTAAATTTAATTTAAAACGAATGTGCGCGTTATATGTGCGGTAATTTCCTACGAAGAAGAGAAGTCTCTAAGACCTCAACATTTGATTTTGCGCAACGCATGACGCGAGTTATATGAATAGTTTGAATCAAATTAGCAAAGCATGTTGTCGGCGAGCAATTATTTGAAACAGTCACAAAATAAGCAAGAAAACACGTCCATTTTTGGTGGGGTGACCACGCAGAAGAATACATGGGCTAATTTAAATGTTTGCATTTTATTTACTAAACTTCTCAAGGGACAAGATGTGTCTCATTTTCCCTCAACAGGACGTCTTAGTCTCCTGCGAACCACGTGTCGTATACAATTCAATACTATATGCTTTTCGAAAAAAAACATCATGTGGAGGTCACAATAATATCTCCACTACAAATTATCACATACACACACACACACATATATATATATGTGTGTGTGTGTGCGTGCGTGCGTGCGTGCGTGCGTGTGTGATAGATAGATAGATAGATAGATAGATAGATAGATAGATAGATAGATAGATAGATAGATAGATAGATATACAGAGAGGCAATAAAGTCACCATAGAGTTACTTATAATAAAAAGCAAAGAATTGAAGTAGGTGGCTTGCGGTTGAAACAGTATCGGTAACTAATTACTATTGTTTACCATAGCATTTTATTTTATTAACCAGAACCAATATATGACCAGATCATATTTGTACCATGGACACCATGATCAGATCATATTTTTTACATGGAGAATAAGACCAGATCAGATTTGATCTATGGAGACCATGATCGGATCATATTTATTAACATGGAAACCATGACCAGATCAGATTTGTTATATGGAGACACACACACACACACGCACAAACACACATACACACATATATATATATATATATATATATCAAAGTATAGGATTGGTGTATACGGAATAAATTCCAATAACCAACAATTACTATTCTTAAAAGAGTGCTTAATACAGAGTAGAGGAAATATAATTATTTATTTAAAAATTATGACATAAATGTTATAAAATCACTACAAAAATAGCCATTTTGTTTCAACACCTTTGGTGTCTTATCAAGTGATGATGTTGTTATTTATATATATATATATATATATATATATATATATATATATATATATATATATCTTCCTCCAACAAAAAGAAAATATCCCTCTTCAACAAACTGGTGAACACCGCCATAAACTGGAAACCTAATTAATTTTCGCTTAATTTTGGTACAAGACTACAAGTATAAAATAGCCAATGATGATCAAACTCACTATTCAGAATAAAAAACGCCAACTTATTAACCATTACACATTCTAAGGCTTATTCGTTGTTGTTTTTCGTTTTGTTTTTTACTAATGTTCGACCAATACAAGGCCTAAGAGCCACTCAATGTAGAAAGTTGCTGTGTGGTGTTTTATTAGCGTAAGGAAGGACAATAAGTGAAGTTCTTGGGGCTAGGCAGGGAAGATAACAGTTAACTTAAACTTGAAGAGATCAAGATCTAATTAGTGAATAACATTTCAGAGTTTTAGGAGGAGACGTTAGAAGTATAGAGTTGAGGTAGGCTTCAGAAGGAACCGGAAACCCAATTCTAAACAGGAAACAATGGATAAACCTCTATTCCTGTTCCCAAAACTGGGAAGGAGTTTGAACCGGATAATAGGCAAACTTATCAACTCCTATTGATTGAAGAGATAAATAAAATAAAATACATAATTCGTGAATATAATTTCAGCTTAATAAGCTATAGCATATTACATCACAAGGACGCTTTAGTGCAACATACCGTACGGACTTTTTAGTCTCCATCACACCACATGGTACGATCTCTCTCTCTTTTTTCTCTCTCTCTCTCTCACACACACACACACATATATATATATATATATACTACAGAGAACCACATAAATATATTTTTCTCTCTTTTTCTGAACTATGATGAGATTAACTATTTTCTAGGCCCACGGTCCTGGAGGTAGACGCCACCTAGTTGACTAAATAGACTAATCCAAATTGACTAAAATAATGATGCAATCTCATCACAATAAGTTGACAAGATCACCTCAGGCTTCATTGAACAATCGGATCATCATAAGTGAACTCTTGTTACTACTTTATCTACCGTTAATTGTAATTGGATTGAATATAATTGCTTGTTGAAGGCGAAGTCTCACACAATAATAGGCGAGGTTATCTTATTTAATTCATTAGTTCTTATTCTTGGCTTTTCTCTGAATTCATTCTTCGCCATCGTTTTTTATCAATAATAGACGTGTGTCTATCAATTCCATATAGTCAACTGTTTTATTCAAGTCGTTGGTTTCAACACTGACAATGTGCCTGGTAAACGGTAGTCAAGTCCTTTGTTCTTCAGTATATAAATATATGTAAAATCCACGTATGTGTTGAATTCATTTATTTTGAAACTGTCCAACTGAATGCGGTTACAATTCTTAAGCCCTTTTTATAACGAATGTTAACACCTCTCCGCAACAAATATATCGAGTAATTGACAGAAAAATAATAATAAAGCCTTTATAATAAAGCCTTTACATTATTGTCCTGTAGCACAACAATCAATCTATTTAATATCAGTAGAAAAACTGTCCCCAATTACTTCACACGAAGGTGACAGTTTAACATTAATTTGTAAAGCAAAATCCATTCAAATTCGAGAGTTTAAGTAAAGAAAAAAAAACGTTTGACAAAGAAATTTCGTATTTCATGCAAGACCTAACGGCCCCTGTAGTTGCTATCAGTCTACAATTTGTGAATTAGTTTTCCTTTCTTTTTTTCTTTTTTTCTTTTTTTTTAGGACATTTTTCTCTCTTTCTTTAAGTATCGGATCATTTAATAAGAAAATTCTACACGGGAATGTTTTAGCTGACCTTGGCATTATGGTGGAAATCCTAATTTCCTTGTGGGACACTTTTTCTATTTCTATTCAGGAATTCAGGAAAAATATTTTTTTCTTTTAGATCCAATTTTGTCTGGCACAAGATTTAAATCACGACAGTATTAGACGCACAACATTTCATCTGCACGAAACAGACTTTGAATCTTCTCGCTTTAAATGATACAATTTGGAACACACACACACACACATATATATATATATGTGTGTGTGTGTGTGTATGTGTGTGTGCGTGTTTCTTGGCATGCATTGAAACTATGAATACGTACATCAAATACTTATCACGAAAAAAAATGGTATTTATTTATATATACAGCAATATACAATTACACAAACGAGGACAGCTGCGTGAACCTACATTTTTTTACTGGGAAAATCTTCGATTTGAAAGTTAGAAGCACACGCAACCCTCTCTGTGCGCGTGAGGGAGAGAGGAAGGGAGGAAGGGATGGGAGAGAGGAAGGGAGGGGGAGGAAGCGAGAAAACGCGAGAGTATGTGAACGGACGTAAAAGAAAATAACGGAGACCGGACGGTGTTTTCCGTTCGAATGTTTTCCCTGGTATACTTTTACCTTTAACTGGTATTTCTCACTCTTTCGTCTCCTCTTCTTCCAAATTCATTGACATCTTTTTCCTGTCTTCATTCTTCCTCAGTCAATTTATTTCTCCTCTCTCCCTCTTCTCCAGCACCCTATTTGGCCAGCGATATATTCTTAAAACGAAATGAGACATTTTCACCCAGAAAACAAAAATAAACAACGAAGAAAGTTCTCACGCAAGAAAAGTTCATCATCGAACCCTATTTCTTTAGCTTGTTACTTGTTCTAATTTTGAATTAAAAGAAAGAAGAGAGAATAAAAAAAAATCCGAGTACAGCTCTCGTTTTCTCGCTAAAGTCACTAATAGTTTGAAAAAAATATAGACCATCTCATAAAGCCAAATATATTATTACAATACTGTCAAAAGTTCGCGTTTCGGTCTAAATATATACACGGATAATTTCATACCATTCCGAATAGTCGGTCTCGATGGACGAGTGGTTAAGATTTGCACGCATTGGGACGAGTTCGTTTATGGACTGAGGATTGTTGGTTAATTAATTGAAATTTATTTATGTATCAAGTTGTCACGAAATTTGCGGGTAAATATAATGAAAAAACGTCGAGGGAACATTTTGCTAGTAATAATAAATTGAAACTGCAACATTAGATGAGAGCTAACCCATTACTATTTGTCTATCATTTGCACGACTTAAATACATGAAGCCTTTATTCTGTGCTATTTGGGGTTTTATTGGTATCTGCATACGAATGCAAATGTCACTTGGTAGGTACTGCATGATGATTTATGTTCGTTACAAATTAAACTAAGTACAACAGACTATTAAAGCATGAAAAACTTTCGCGGATTTTGACGTCATTCCGGAGTTGTTATTGTTTTATTGTTGTTGTTTTGTTTTTTGTTTTGTTTTTTGTCCAAATCGCTGAATTTGTTTTAAGTCTCGAAAAAATAGTATATAAAATTTACTATTTTTTATCTATAACGTTGAATGTGTTAAATTATTTAACATTTTAACAAGAAAAATCTCAAGTTGACGTTAAAAATATCCGTAAACATTGTTGATTTATTTAAGATAGAATAATCTATGTTTCTAATTTGAATTTAGATACATTGTATTTATTTTTAATTTTTCAAGTCGAATTTTTCGCCTATATTGTATATATGATCCATTGTTATATATACATAATAAGATTAAAATAAAATTTTATTTTATATGAAAATTAAAAATTTTTTATGAAAATTGAGATGTAACAGAGGGGTGGGCTCCGTATCATAGATTTGGAAGTATAAGAGACTTATACCGGCCATGCTGTTCCTTATACAATATGATTATAGATTCGAAACCCCAATGTGAATGATTTGTATTTAATGTAAGAATTTATTTAAAAGAAAAAAACTGTCGTGAAATAATTACATAGTGCACTCCAGAAGTTTTGAGAATTTTTCAGAAGAGACATTTTGATATGTCCCGGAAAGTGATATATTTGTTCGAAGTAGCAAAGTGGTTTTGGACTACTGTAACCGAGTAGGACAATCTAGCAGGTAACTGTAATGGACTGGTCCTCGTCGTAGTGGTAGGCAATAGGCGTAGTCTATAGGCGTCGTCTGTACCTCCACATCAATCTGTATTTATGGCTGACACCAGGTAATCATATTACTGTGAGGGGGGAACCCAGGTGTATGCATATTCATTACATCATATTTATTTCAAAACAATACAAACTTCTAACCTCCTTCAAAGTATGACCTTCCGAATTCAATGCACTTGTATTTGTGCTCCAGTTACTTCTTGAAGGCCCTCTCTCCAGGGTCCCCTTCACAGTCATTTTTTTATGCCACTTTAGCGTGTGTCCTACCGATCAGTGTATCTAACCACCACGTTTGTATCCCACATTATCTAACGTAAGGGGATAAGCAAAAACGGAAGGAGGGGTGACATTTAAATTGAAAATCAAAAAAAAAAAATTATAAAATAAAAAATATTACTAAAAAGATCTAAAACAAGATATATGAATCTTTTAAATAAAAAACATTCTGAATGTCTTTTAACATATCGAGAAAAAAGTCAAGACAATGTCTTAAT